CTTTCACTGACCTGGTCATGTTCATGGTGATCTTCTAGTCGTCCCTTACTTTCAGCATCTAGCTTCCCTTTCAGCTCAGTGACTTCATCTGTTTTAATTTGAAGTTGAAGTTCAAGGCTATCTATTTGTTTTAGAAGCCTTCTTTTATCCTGTTATAAACACATTCTATTATTAGCATGACTAACAAGCAACATTTACAGCTAGTGTAGGGCTTCAGAAACAAGTAAAAGGAGTAGCTGAGAGTTTTTTTAATGAATGGTATTGAAGAAAACTGCAACAGGATGCATTTGATCATGTGATCTGTTGTTGTGATGAGGGTAGTCTAGATAAGGGCTGTTGTCAGTGGAGGTGACTGATGTTTCAACAATCTGAGTGCCATCATCAGAGTCAAGTGGGAAGCTGTTGGTGCAAACTGATAAGTCAATTAAACCACGATGTTATTAGCTATGAGGCTTAAGTGGTGTAAGTTGGGTTTTGATTGGTTGGTTTTGATCTGTCGATAATGTTAGATCCTTCTGTTGAGTTGGTTTGCCACATTAATGTCGTGAAAAAGTTGTTTGTATGGTGCTACTGGTTGTTGACACCTGTGGAGGTGAGTCTGTTCTCTGTAAGAGAACCAGCTTTCCAGAGTCAGACATTGACAATAGTTAGTACTGTAGGTTAGGCATTGCACAGAGTCCCAATCAATTGTGCAGTTTGTAAGTTGATAATGTTCTGCAATGTGATTGTTATAATCATCATTAAAATTACTTTGTTATGATACATGCACTAACCTCATGACATAAATCAAGTTCTCTTCTTAACATAGGCTCCACTTTTTTAAGAAGTTCTATTTCCTCTTCAGCTTGAAGTAATCTACAAAAAAATTTAAGAAAATGTTACATAAAGCATGTAAAGTTAAAGAAAGCCAATTTAAATCATAAAAGTCTTACAACTAAATTGCAATTGAAGAAACTGCAAGTGAAAAGTTGTCCAAAAATTTCTGTTTTGAAAGGGTTCCAACTTGTGCCTCAAGTCTAAGATACTTGAATAAAGGTGGTAAGTTTTAAAAGAAACTGTAGTGCTGTGTCAGTGAGGGATATTACAAGATAACTTGGTTTTTATCACCTGAGTAACTGACCAAAGACTACCCTTTGAAATGTCAGTTTTAGACTCTCTTTATGGGGCCAATTTACATTATCAACTCAGCTGATAAACCCAAAATATCTAAGATACTTGTTGATCAACACTATCAACTTAGCTACAAAGTTACATGTTGAAAATGCCACAAAGTTTAATGGTTTTCAGGAATTTGATCACATTCATTTCAGTTATTTGTCATAAAAATTCTACTCAAAGCAAGTAGAATTATTATGACAGATAAACGAAATAATTAATAATCATATCTATATTTAATACAAGTATATAATATATGATGTCCCAAGGATAACCTTGCACAAGATAACCTTTGTGAGGTTTATCCCCACAAACTTCATGTTGTCTTTTTACTTTCAAATATTAAGATTCAGCTGTCATGATATTACAGAAATAAATTCAGAAGACTCATACTTTAAAATATCTAAATAATCTACAACCACAGCAACTTTTTCATACATTTAAGAGCTTAACTCATTCTGCACTAAAAAGAACAGTGCAAAAAAAAAAAAATAGACACATCTTTCACCACTTACTTTCTGTTAAGTGTTTCTAACGTTTGTTCATTTTCTCTCTCTAATTTGATCTGAGAAGGAGAACAAAAGACATTCTGTCGTTACAAAAATATCATACTTATTGAAAAAAATTCTGCCAAGATTGAGGTAACAGAGACAAATAATCAGTGATTTGCAACCATTAGAGACCTTCCCATTAAAATTTGGACAAAGAATTGCATGTAATGGTCCAAGTCCTCCAATCTCAAACACTCAATGAAAACCACGGACACAAATATCTACTGGAAATAAACATTGAATGTGGTTACCTATGACTATTTAATTGGCAGATTCAAAACTTTCCCTAGATGAACTCAAGGTAATCCACAAGAAGCTAAAACAAAAACCAAAATTAAAACACTTTGGTCAAACAAACCTCAGTCAAAACTTACCAAAGCTGTTTTATATCTCAAACTTTCTTCTTCTACTTGCTTCCCTGTTGAAACTTTTTGAGTCTCAAGTTGTTCTTCTAATGCATTTATTCTATAATAAAATAAAAGGAAGTCAAGAAAATAATTTTATTATTAATATCCTAAATCTGTGCTTTGACCCTTCAGGGTCTTGAGATACTGTAATAGGACTTAAAAAAAATAGAAAAAGAAATTTCTTGGTGTCTAAAAAGATGTTCCAATTTACTACTTTTCATTTTATTCATTGTTTTTGGTTGTTGTGTTTTCGATTGTGAGTCAAAATGTTAAGACAATCAAAAAACTGAGATAAAACCTGACCAATGTTGGTCACAGTTAATGTATGATTGTATGAAAGAGCAGTCAAATTCTAAAGAGAAAAAGTATTTAATTAAAACAGAAATCCTCCATTTTGAAAATGGAAGATGAAAAATAGAGAACTGATTGAAATAATTATCAAACTGCATGATGCCAGCATCAAAATAATAGCCTTAAAATCAACATGGTACAATGTTTCATTCAGCCAGATGCTATTGCCACTAAGAAAATTTGTAGAGATTCATCCATAAAGAGGAATTAAAATCTGAAAAACTATGCCATTTGTAATTTGTGTCCTGAATCTTTTTAACATAACCATTACAAGGCAAACACAAGTTTATTGTTCTAGCTGAACATAAACCCTAAGAATATGAGATTGACTTTGATACATTCAAGGCAAAGAAATTTGACTGATGGAAAAATTCATTTTTAGCTACCATAAAACTTTCCCTTCACAAGCAAATATCAACTGACACTTTCAAAACTAAAATGTTATTGCTCAATATGGTAATATTACTGTGTGGTAAACATCTGCTATTCAATGAAAAAGTCACCTTTCCAACAAAACTACACACTTTACCATGATCTTTCCTCCCTTTTAACTTACATGTTGTGACACAAAATTGCCAATTCACAGCATCAAACAAGTCAAGATTTCATAATTTCAATCTTAATGGCTGTAATATCAAGTTTTCAGCCAGAGTGGAAGGGAAATCAACCAAAACACACATAATCTATTCTATTCTCTAACAGTTATATTTCAATCACTCATTTCTATGAAAAGAAAAATTATTCCTCACAAGGAAATAAACATAGATATAATAAATTAAAAAGTAAAATGTAATCTAGTGAACATCTTAACCAAAAAAACCTGAATTCAGTTGACAGTATATAGATGTGAATCATAAAAGTGATTTACAAGCTTGTAGTGTGCTACATGGTAAATACATTTTACAAACTTGCCTTTGTAGGACAAGGGGAGAATGTTAAAAAAGCTATCCATCTATGGAAATGGCTTACAATCATTCTCTAAGCAAGAACAATATGTTACCAGAAGCAGTAGATTCTTAAAGCCCTCTTTACATTGAACAACCTGAACTTATTTAAAATAATACAATATGGTTTGGCTTGCTGAAGCATTTAGCCAATATTGCAAAGAGGAACTTGCTCACCTCCTACGAATAGAATGATGAATCAACACCAAAACATTTCCTTCATAAACATTTTTCTCTCACTATTGGTTTCAGGTACATCATTTATGATAAGGAAATGAATTTCAATCTGACTATGTTTTATGCAAATATGGGGCAGATGTCACTTCAAAAGCAAGTTAATTATTCATGAAAAAAGCCAAAAGGCTTTAAATAGGTTGAAGCAGGTTGTGGCTCATTTGAATAAACCACAGCTTTATGATATTGTTCATGGGCACAGAGGGATGTCTGCTAAAATAAAACAACATACCTCAGCCATAAAAAAAGAACAAAACAACAGAAAACAAACTCTCTATCAATCAACAGATACCAAGCAGCTGGGATCTTTTTAAATGTAAAAACATTGTGTAAACTAAAGAACATATCAGCTATCTGCCAAAATATACACAAATTTATTCAAGGCTTCAAGATGATTAATTTTTACTGGTTGTTGGCACTTAAGGTAATTTTGAAATTAAACTTTTTTTTTGCCCTTTTAGTTCATCATCATAAACAAAATCGTCTTGGAGTCTGTTGTGAATGATTCTATAAATATCAGTTTTGAAAATTTGGAAATGTGTGTTACACAACTGAGCATCACAAGCCGAGTTGTTGTAAAAATATATCAAATGGTAAGAAATAATCATAATAAAATGATTGTTAATAAAGATTTAAAAATACAGTTCTGCAAAACATTAACCTCTCTAAGTAAGAAAAGAAAAATCTTCTTCAGCCTAAAGCTGAAGTTCATAACACTGAACTAACAATAATAGAGAAAAGAAACTAAATTTACTGCATTGCTGATTGTCCTGAATAGGACACCAGTCTACTGAGGGCCACCCTCCAACATTTTGTTTGTTTTACCCCCTGATTCACTTGCAGACTCTCTCATTCTTTAACCCTTTGATTCATGAAAGTGACCAACCTCTTATTTCTCCTCACACAATATCACCCTCAAATCACACATGAAAGTCATGAGAATAAAGGAAACCATTGCCAACTAAAAGAAGCTCTAAATTGTTAAACAAATTCTCCTTGTCCTTGGGAAATGTATACAGAACAGTAAAGAGAATATGTATGCTGATGTTAGGATGTAAAGGGTTAAAGGAACCTTTTCTTTAAAAGAATGCCATGGGCTGGGTCACACTAGAGCAAATGAAAATATTTACCAATTCTTTGCTAGTCAAAATTTGCAAAAATTTTGCATTTTCCAAATTTTGGTGGTAGTCACATCAAACTAGAATTTGTTGAGAAAAAACTTTACTGATTGATTCATACATTAATCACAAACCCATCTAGTTCTTAAAAGTCAGAATAAAAAAAGATCTTGTGCATATCAGTACTATACAGGCACAGATCCTTTCTTTTTCATACTGATCTTTTGCATTTTGCTTGATGCTTGTGCTTCTTGTGCTGGCTTTAACATTTGTGATGGAAGGGGAATTTTATGTTGAAGCCATCTGTTTCCAAATTGCTGCCAGTTACTGGACTCAATAACTGGACTCAGTAACTGACGTCAACACCTTTCTGTTTGACAATATGTAAAATCATCTTATGTTGTCAAGAAATTGGTTACTAGCTTAAATAAAAACAGATAGTTAAAAAAATTATTCTACAATGAAACATAAAGCTCTCCCAAATTTTTTCTAGCACTTAGCTTATCAAATGAGGCTTCTCACCAAAGACAAAATCACATAAGCAAGTTTTAGTGTTAAAACAAAACATTATTGTGATATTGTACTATCAGTTGAACATACTTCAATTGCTGTAAAATGATTGAAAGCATCTGAAGTGATTTTGATGGCCTTTCCGCAAAGCTGATTAAATATATAAAAGCTTTATATGCTCTTGTTATGACTTTATGCATTTCACAGATCAAATCATCATCTAAACATCAAATCAGTATTACAACATGTACAAAGGTGTAATTTAAGAATACAGCAAGTGAAAGGGCAAAATTTGATTTCTCTGACAAAATTAATCCCTATCATTGACTTCCATTTTGCCTCTATGATTCTGGACTTCAAAATTTTACTAATAATCAAGAGAGCTAATATATGTTCCTACCAAATATTTTCCTAGCATCACCATAAATGGTTGGTTAAAATTACAGAAACTCTGTGAAACACTGGTGGTATCAACATACAACAATTACAACAAAGGATATAATTCACACCTTTTTGGAAGTATCTTTTTTAAAAGAAGAAAAATCAGACTTTAACAAATGCATTTAGGCTTGAGTATAATATTGGACACATTTTCGCTGCAAGGAACCAAAGGACAGAGCTACATTGAACTGCCGGAGACTAGCTGGTTTAATGTGATCACAACTAATCTGACACATGTTTTCCCTTTTGGCTCCATCCTTTAAACCCTAAGAGTGACCAGCATCTAATTTCTTCTTACAGTTATACTGCTAAATCACTTGTTAAGATAACGAGAATAAAAGAAATGATCACCAACCTAAGATGCTTTGATTGTCAAATGAATTCACACAAAGGAAAAGATAATAAATGTGTACATAGTCACATCTGCCAGAGCATTGATCCTTTTATCAAAAACTGGATCATTGGATAATGCAATTCAAGAGTTTCCATTGGCTTGGCCATTATGGGTTATGAACCATCATATAATAAGCTCAGTTATACACACATTCTGATTGGTTCTCACTTATGATCTATTGGAGGACAGACATATAGATGACGTCATCATTAAAACTTTTTTTAATTCTTTATTATATAAGACAAATAGATTCCTAGTTACCATGCATCTGTTCAGTAATAGATCACAGATATTCAGATAGATCACAGATATTCAGTAATAATAGTAATATAGATCGCAGTAATATAGATCACAGATATTCACAGATATTCAGATAGATCACAGATATTCAGTAATAGATCACAGATATTCAGTAATAGATCACAGAGTAATAGGTCATCAGTGACACACTCGGCTGCGCCTCGTGTGCCACTTTTTTGTTCTTACCACATTTTGACATCATCTGTGATCTATTACTGAACAGATGCACGGCAACTTGGAATCTATTTGTTAATTACACTATGCATGCGCATGAAGACAAGTTAAACCAGAAGTGTTTTTATACATTGTAACATTCCACTTGTTCTTATAAAATAAGGTTGTGAAGATTTATCTATATTTTGGGGCTTTTTTAGTAAAACAATTATTTCACTCACACTTGCTGGATATGAAATGATTATAGCCAACTTGGCCCAACTGGTCTCATTGGCTTTTTTTCATCTCATATCCAAAGCGTGCTTGTGGAATAATTGTTTAATACACTGCAAGTAAAGATTAACTTTTAGCTTTAGCAAGCAAACAAAGGTGGGCAACTGTCTAAGTGAAATAGTTCATCAAAGAATCATTTACTCTTCTTACCTTGTACATAATAATTTGTTTTCTTCTCTAAATTTATTCTGTTTATCTGTTTGCATTGCATGGTCTTCTTGTAATAATGACACTTGTGAAGACAGTCTTTTTAACTGTAAAAGTAATAGACATAAATATCAATAATGGTGCTTCTAAGCTAAACCTTTTTTCAAAGTTGCATTTGGTGACTGAAAGAAATACAATGGTCATCAAAAATCAAATTTCAGTCACCAGGGAAGGAAAGGAAAAAAAAACCAAACACTCAAGACCATTTACCTCACTATACAACCAGGAAGAAAAAGGGAAATACAGGGCATTAATAATTTTTCATGCAATAGTTTATCTCACATTAGCTTATGGAAAAACCACTGAACATAGACTGCCAATCTGAAAATTGAGATGCCAAAATCGTTTTTACTATTTGCCATGGCAACACAAAAGGTCATGGCTTGGAACACTAAATAACAGTAACAGTTACTACATTAATCACCATACATATTGCAAGTAAGCTAAAATGATCAATAGGGATTTCAAACCCTAGAATGACAAATCACAATTAGTACATGCATGTTGCTGTAAAAAAAAAATTACATATGCAAACTCTCTGTATAGTTATGGGTACCAGAAATGTATTTCTATTTTTACCACAAAGAGTTTTAAAAAACGAGACCACAAACCTCTGTTAGAAGAAACATTGAAGTCCCTGCCTCACTATCTGACAGTGCTCGATCAACCATCAGGTCATCAAAACTGTTATGTCTACTGGGATTTTCCGAGTGACATTTATAAAGATGCATATGATGGCTACAGAAAAATGTAACAAAATAGGGAGAGAGAGAGTTCTGAGTAAGTATAAATGTCAAACTTTCTGGTAAAAACTAGTAGTGCATTAGGCAATCAAGAGAACAGTTTATCATCAGTATAATTATAATCAATTTTGAAGTTAAATGTTGTGAGTCAGAAAACAGGAACAGTGGAATATTGTCATGTATTCTTTTTTTTACTGCTTCTAAAGTGAAACTTAATATTTTGAATGAGGTGATTTGTTTTGCTAATACAAAGTGTTGTCTCAATGAGAATAAATTAGATCATGCAGGAATAAAGATCTATACAGGTGGCATCTTACTGTCGTCAGTTGAGAACAATGTGTTAGTGACTGCCAACGGCAGCTACAGTAATTCCAATAATACAGAATTATCAATGGCATTATTGTTACTGTACATAACACAGAGAGAGAGAGAGAGAGAGAGAAGCCAAGAAATGCTTACACCAAACATAAACACAAAATACCTCACTCTGTAGTTTGTTTTCTAACTACTGATTGAATGAAAAACAGTTCTATGATATATAATTCCAAATAGGAGTGTGTGTGTGGTGCTGATGGAAGGGGGGGAGGGGGAGGGAATTGCTTTTTAACGACAAAATACCTCACTATCTCTCTCAATTATTTTATCAAGGGTGTCATTATAAATCACACATAACATTTTTCACCTCTTTAGAATAGCAATTCTAAATGATGACCATAAAATGTTCTTTACCAAACAATTAATCTTGTTTGATGTGCTATAAAATTACATTCATCAAATTTATTTATAAGTGCATCCTGTTTACCTTGAAAATGCAGCTGCTGCAGCTGATGATCTTCTATTGCAAAAGGAAATAAATGATAAAGATTATAACTAGCAAATATACAACAAAAGCTTTGTAAAAGAGTGACTTCATATGGTTTTAAGATTGGAGTTCCCCTAAATTGAAGCAGATATAATCATGATATACAATATCCTTCTAAATACTGCAAAAATTTATTCTACGATTCTCTCTCTAATCACTGTTCTTTCCATTTCATGTCCTGCAATCAGTTGGCCTTTTGGCCACAACAAACTGTTTAAAAAACATACTATTATGAGTCAAAAGCAAGACCAAAATGCATATTTTCCTGCACATAAAAGAAAAACAATTGTGCCCACCATTATGGTAGAGGTCTAAAAAACACCAAAATCTGATTTACTTCAAAAGGAAATAACTAGACATCAAAAGGGGAGAATCATTGTTACATGTAACATTGTAGTGGTTGGATGGAAACACTTAAAACTTACTTTCTTAGGATGCGTTCAGAATATGGATGGTCCCTTTGTAAAGTTGGAGTATCTTCAAATGCTGTATCCTCACTGAAGCTTTCTCCAAATCCTTCAAATCCTTCTTCAGACTGATACTCACTGGTATCTGAGTGTGAATGTCTATCACTATACATATCAACATTCATGGCTGGTAAAGTTGCACGGTGTTTTAACCGAGGTCCTGTGGGGGGTGGGAACGTAGAGTATTGTTTTTGATTACGACTGAACTTTGAAGGTTGCGGCTCATCTTGGAAATTGTCATCGTCGTCACCATTATACTCATTTGTGGATGCTGTACTGTAAGTACTGTCTCTCTGAAAAGAGAACGTTGCATCAGTACCACAGATCTTTACAAAAGGTACAAGTAACATTCAAGAAGTGGCAATCAAGGCAAGAGGCACTCAAAGTGCCAGGACTTATCCACGTCTACAGAGCAAGAGACAACTGAAATTATTCCCATTCCCCTTAGATGGCATGCCAGTCCATTGCAAGTTACCCCCCTCCCTCCCCCTGCATTTTGTAAGGCTTCTGTGACAGTTTGCCACCACCCATTTATACTTGTGGGCAGAATGATGGTTTCACTGTATTGTAGTCATTGTCATTATCATCATGATAATCATCAAAATAAATTATCCTTAGTCCAAATTTCAGTGGAAGACAATTACCAATAAGAGCACACTGTGGATCTTATGGCCCCTTACCACCATCTGCTCAAATTTTATTGAAAGTGTTTGAACATAGCCATGCACTCCATATGGTTTTTAAATATTCCACAAAATTACACCAGGGTTTTTATAACTAATATAACTTAAAATATAAAATAACTTTTTCCATAAAAAAGCCAAAGGGCTGTAAGGCAAAATCCAAACATGAGAGGCTGCTCACAGGCTGAGCAGCAGTAAGAGGTCTTATAGGCAGTGGCAGACCAGTGGTAACTAGCTTTTATGCAAACCTCTGAAATACAGGGTTGTGTAACAAAGAGAACACAGTTTCTGAACTTCACCAATTTTTCCATTTTAATTAGTTTTGTGGTCAGCTTCAAGTAACCCACAATAAAAATAGTAATTGAGTAAACCAACCAAAACTGAATGCTTTTCAGCGATGTAAGCCTACTTTGAAAATGACAGAAACTAAAGTCGTGGCTTCCGGCAAATTTGAAGTGACACCAGATCACAATATATTTTAGGCATCTTTCAAAATATGACGCAAAATTTGATAAAAAGTGCAAATTCAATGACGTGTGTATCACATAAACTGGTCTGGACTTGTTGAGCTTCAATGATGCATAGATAAACATTGCAAGGATATGCACAGTCAGAAACCTATTTACATCACTGACTAATCCACATAAATATTAATTTTTATAGTTCAATTAACATAGCAAAACTGAAAAGAAAAGAAATAACTTTAATAGAAAATGAAAGACAAAAAAGCCTGAGAAACTTCACGAAAAATTTTTCCCACGAAATGAAATATTGTGTCTTGACATTTGTGTATACAAACTTGTGTCTCTTAGCCAATTCCCAAAATCTTAAAGTGCTCGTTGTCATAAGAAATCGTGGTTAATTTTCTCGCAGCACTCAGTGGACTAAATGAGCAACCATTTGGCACGTTTTGAAAAAAAATCAATTAATTTCAAAGTACCTCGCAGCAGCTATCTTCCTGTTGGTCGTTTTCCACCACAGATATTGTCAGTCTTGGGAAAGAATCATCTTCCACTAACTTGTGCGAATTTTTTTCATTTACATTATTGACATCACCATTGGCCCCTAGGGAGATGAAAACATTTCAATATCATACAGACACCATCTAGAAAGACATATATTGTCGGTTCTCGAATCGATCTCGGACTTTCACGTCAGCGAATATTATTCACCTGAGCTACTATCATATTGGAAGCCTTCACAATTGCACATAACGCAATATGATTAGAAACTGATATTTCACCAACCAGTTGGCAATGATGTTAAAAAATCACTTACCTAAAAAATCGTGTATTCCTTTACAAAACCCATCAAAGCTTATCTGCCCAAACCCTTCAGGATCGAGCTTTTCGATCAGAATTTTTATCTCCTAGTGGTAGAGGAGAATGGTAGAATATCAATGAGTTTTACATTAACAACAATCAACACTCACTGCTAAGGAAGTGAGGCATTCGGTTGCGAACGAATTTGGAAAAAGTGTTCACAGTACTCTCAATTTTGATATTGGAGATCGGGAACGACGAAGAAAATAATTTCAAGGATATCAACCGATTGATCGCTGTTTCCGCAGAAAATTTTAGAATTGTCTTCCTGTTAATGACCGGTTCACCAAGGTAATAGTAAACTAACCTGGTGTGGCGAAAGAGATGACAGGCGAGAGTGCAAATAAAACAACACTTTTCGATACTACAAAAGGAGCGATCGAGCCTCTTCAAAAGCCACTAAATTTATCGTAGAACAATTCTTGCATTTGAAATATTTCGGTCAAAGCAAATTGTCTTCTATCACCAGGAAACAAACCCCAAACGCTGACTAGTCGCGAAAATTACGTCTCTATGTACGCAGATTCATGTACTTACTCTCTGTTTATGATTGGGAATACAAAAAAAACTCCGTCCTCACGTATCTCAAATACAGTTTAAATATTATCTACTGCTGCTTCATGGTACAGGCCCATGAATAATGATCAAAATATAAGTAACAGTGGTAAGGACAGTTTTAATTTACCTCAAATCCAACACTAGCGTGTTCTTGGCCGAGGCTTAGAAGATCCTGCGTCTTCACAAAACCGTCGCCATTTTGGTCACAAGCTTCGAAAACAGCTTTCAAATGGGACAGAACATCTTCCGCGTTTACTTCTCCCATGCCTGGAAACGGTGCAACCCCTGATCCTAATAGGGACTACTTAGTTGTACTATAAGAGCATCATTTCGTGCGGTAGACTACTTAGACCTCAATCAAACGGCTGGCGATTTGTTCACTAAAATCAACAGATGATTGACAACAAGGAAGTCACGTGGCTGAAATCTCTCGAGAATGGCGTAAAGTCTGCAACCTTGAAAATAACGCATTCTTCCGAAATCAGGTTTCTGCGATCAGACAAGAATTTGTGGAAAACCTATACATGATATAGATTTTAAACCTACGGTCATTTGTTTTTCGTTGGAATCCAACGCACTTCCTAACCGGGATCATTCGTAAGTTCTCATATTGGCCGGGCCAGAGCTAGGATGTTGTTTTCTCTGGCACGGTGTCAAGTACCGTCTTTTCTTCTGAAACAAGTTTCAAAAGCGAAAACAAGGCTCTTAAAGCTCATTGTTGCGGTTCAAAGAGGCAAAAGCAAAATATGGCCCATTCGTCGTTTGAGAATCATCACGCACGTCTCTCTATCATTTCCGTGATTTCCGATTTCAAAATAAATGTGAAAATCTTGATACTGACCAAGCAGCTTTATGAAAAAAACAGCAAAGAACCGAGATATCACGCGTCTATCATGGGCCGATCGGTGTGTTTATATTTAAATATAAAAGCACCACTGTGATGCGTTAGTTCGTGTGTATTTTTGAGAAACATCTTATAAAAGCAATAAGTAACTTATTCCGTGTTTCGATAACCTCATCCCGAAGCTCAGGGGTCTAGAAAAATTCGAGATAGTTTTGCAAACTATCAACTGCTTCTCGGGTTGCCGAACTGTCAAAAATTCTCTCAAACCCTTGTATTGTGTAAACATTGAAAAAGTCTTCTTTTGTTTTTTTTATATTTCTTGTTTATTTTTAAATCATTTTTTAGTTTTTTTTATTAATTTTTTTTCTTTTCCTGAATGAATGATCGTCCACTGTCCAAGTCCTCCAAACAAGACTCTGCTAAATGAACATGCGTGACGTTGTGGAACCCTGAGAAGAAAATCAAAACTTACCAGTAATGCTACTCAACCCTTTAACCCCTAAGCGTGACTAGCATCTAATTTCTCCTTACAATAGTGACCACTGAACCACACATTAATGTCATGAGAATAAAGAAAGTGATCACCAACTTAGGAATCTCTTGATTACCAGACAAATTCTCCTTGTCAGCACATTAGTAAATGTACAGAGAACAGTATGAAGAATATGAATACTGATGTTAGGGTGTAAAGGGTTAACCCTTTAACTCCCAGATCAAATTTGTCATTCTCCTCACTGTCAATCATATAATTCTTATAACGTTAGTTCAGAGAATTTGGTATTGGATCAAGTAATTATCCCCAAATAGAAATTTTTCTTTATTCTCATCACTTATCTGATTGATATTGTATTGATATTGTAAGAAGAAATTCTGTCTTGGTCACTCATGGGAGTTAAAGGGTTAAAGCCCTTATACTGATGGTTGCAAGCCAACTGATACTAAAAGAGGCCCCTTAACACTCAAAGTTACTCTTCCCTGGAGTACTCATTTGAAACTACCTTTTCCCTGTTAAACATTTTTTGTTACCCTTTAACCCCTAAGGGTGACTAACATCTAACTTCTCGTTACAATATCACCCTGAATCAAACATCAAGGTCATGAGAATAAAGGAAATGATCACCAACCAAAGAAGCTCTTGATTGTTGAACAAATTCTCTTTGTCAGAACCCTAGGAAATGTCTAGGGAGTAGTATGGAGAATATGCATACTGACGTTATGAAGTAAAGGGTCAAACAGTTAAACTCATTGAACAGTGGACCTCTTTGCTGATGTTGCACGACATCGCAAAATGTTTGGATCTTTTCATGCCAAGTAATAACAACCGAAAATAAAAGGACAAAAACTTAAGAGGAAAGGAAATAAAAGGACAAGAACCCACAATACATCAATGTACTTATCAGATAGAAATTGCTATCTTGAGCTAACACCAAATTATCATAACCAATTTACATGGAAAGGTATAGCAGCTACATGGGAGAATTAACAATCAGATCTTGGGAGTTAAAGGGTTAATGCCTAAAGTATAATACCCTTGCTAACAAACTATTGACCAGGAAATAATCCAATGCCCTTCCTCCAAAGGCAGATAAATCATCTAACTCAAGAAAATGGTAAAAACTGGGTCTCTTGGAAAGCTATATGTTTTCCTTTTTCTTCACATTTACATGTAACTTGTACAAATTTCTGGTTTTCAGCTTTGTTTCTAGTTAATCAGTTCAGAGAAGAGAAGCCATCCAAAATAGTGCAGAGAGAACTACTAGAAACTCAAAGGTTATTGGTGTATGTCCACTCTAAACTAAGAAAAGGGATGCGTTAACTCATGAATCCTTGGACTCTCACACTTCTTCAGTTTTCATGAAAGTTCTAAATAAGAACTATGAAAGAGATTGATATTCTTGGGTCCACCCTCTTGATCTTCCCTCAGTAATTGAGTTGTTCAAACAATTACTGATAACTGGCAAAAAGTGTAATTCAAGTTCAGAGAAAATCAGCCAAGAATACCTTGAACCATGATTCACGACTACAAAAAACTTTTAATGACCTTGACAACTTTATGTTGGCAAAACTTGACATTTCCTAAGTGTTTACTTAACTTTTCCTCTTTAACTGAATTAAAAATGTCTTTAACACTGCATAGCTCGACACAGATATAGCTCTCTCAACCTCTTACATCATGAAGTAAATAAAACCAAGGTACATATCAAAGTGACATACAAATGATAAGTTAAGACTGTCTAAATCACAACGATGGAATCATACACTGTAATAGAACAAGAAACCAACTAGGTCAAGGGAATTGATGTGTTGAAGTCAGGAACTTGCATTTCCTCATGAAGGCTGGCTAACTAATTAAAAAGTTGACAATAACATTATTGTGCAGGAAAGATGAATCACATTTATACACAACTTGATCCAGGGTGCATGTTAAAAACTAAAGTTCAGTACGATAAACTGTCATCTCTTTTTGAAACCATACTTCTTTCTTTCATAGAAGAGATCAGTCTTTGAACTTCCTAGGTTGACAATCTTGGGGCAGCCATCTCTCTGTAAAAAACAAACAGAAAAGCATCAAGTACTGTATTAAAACTCTGATGCTATTATTTTGAAAACAAAGATTGCCCAGCAATTTCACAAAAGCTTTTCAATGCAGAGTCCATTCAAGATTTGATTTACTGAGTGTTGACAAGCAGCAAATTAGTCATTCAAACAGGCCTTTGGGATTTAAATTAGCTGGGGTGTTAGCAAAACTGTGTGTGCACATATAAGGTAGGGCAAACTCAGAAATAGAGCCAAAGTACCCAGCTGGCCAATGCTTGTCCTGCATTCCTCACCATGAAGGGACAAGGAGTATTGTCACTTTCCCAAAGGGAAATGTTATTCCATTGAAGGATAACCCTCTCCCCCTTCTCTTCTTCCAAACCAGCAGTTTTGTTAGATTCTCCTGACAGTTTGCGGTTTTCATTTCACACTCTTGGATATCAAGATGCACTTTGAGAACACAAATTGGAAAATTGGACCAACTTTTCTACTATCAGGCCTCAACATCTCCCCCAATACACGAACATTCAACTCCCAATAACTTAACCCTTTAACTGCCATGAGTGACCAAGACAGAATTTCTCCTTACTATATCAACACAATATCAAGCAGTCAAGTGCTGGGAATAGAGAAAAATATTAATTATGGGATTACTAATTGATCTGATACCAATATTATTCTCCAGCTAACATAATGGGGATCATTTGGCAGACAATAAGGAGAATTGCTAATGAGATCTTGGGAGTTCAAGGCTTAAACCTCTTGTTCACTTGGAGTGATTTTACTTTCTGAAGTTATCCTTGAGTTAGTTTCTTCTACATTTTCCCTCGATGTCACAAACCTTCTTTTAATTCTTCTTCTAAGTTTGAGGTGTAGGGAATCAATTGTATTAACCTTGGTCTATAGTATTCCTAGTTTTCTAAATATAACTCACATCTTTCTCTTGAACTGTACATTCTTTACAGTAATAAGCATCAGAAACCCCAGGTCCACCACATATAACACAGCGACCTTGATAAGAGCCATAGTTGCATTCATCACATATACGCACCAGTGTACAGGGACGCACATAGGAGTCGCAAATGACACATTTACCATCACCTAAGCATCAGCAAAGAAGAAAAAAACAGCGCATGAACATTACTAGCATTCAATCTCAATGTATGCGATAAAAGGGAAAACATACCAAAACCTTGACTAAACCAGAGGTGAAAAAATCTTCTGAGTGATTTTTTGCAATGGGAAAAGATTTGAATTTCCGACAAAACTCTACCTCAGAATTATTTCTGACAATCCTGGATTTAGAACTTTCACCTCTCACTCGTCACAGAATGGGTGATCTCTCTTCTTTTTAATTGAAATCCGTTGAAACTGACTCCTTAGCTCATAAATAAGAACGCACGTGTATCAATCTAACTTTGACATTCTTTGATTAAACGAAATCTGTACTCGAGTTTCACCTTACTCACATTTTCACTCAGAGAAAAAAGCAAAAGAAAAAGAAAATCTGCAAACTCTCGAAAATAGAATTAGCCATGAAGCAGACGTCATTTGTCTCTAAGCAGAAGAAAATGTCAACTTAGCTTTCTCTCGAATCAGTTGATTACCGTAAAAAAAGTTAAACGAATCTTGTACTTACATTTTTCACACAGCCGACCTATAGCTGAGATATAAGTAAAAATAGAATATAATCAGTAAACTGCACCGGGAACCTTAGTTAAAATTGCAAACAAACTAACCTACGCCAGGCTGTTTTCTGCACATGATGAGGTCTGGATGATGCTTCGCCATCTTGGATCAATTTCCCATCATTCGTTGCAGGACAAAAACGCTACTCAGACGTTCTCATGCCAAGTCCCCCTCGGTCAATATTGCGCACAGTTCGAAAGCCGTCAGAAGGAGGTCGTTTTGGGTCGACTTCGTTTTGCAAGAACAAACGGAATGTAGGATCTAAGCATTTGCTATTTTTTGGTGTGTGTAACTCGTATTTATTTATTTCGTTCTTTCCTTTTTTTCATAACAACGCGTTAGCGTTTTTCTTCATCAGTTACACCTTTTAGCACGGTTCTCATGCCGCACGTTACTTCGTAGTCCTCTTGTATTTAAAGCCAGTTTCTTTTGCGCATAATCACTTTTCAAGTCAGTTTACCCACAGTTGTGCTTTGCAATTTTGCAGTTACATATTAGGCGTTATCAAAGTAAGTACTTTTCCGTTCCGCTTCGTCTATATTCATTTTTTGTTTGTAGTTTGTTTATCTTAATCAGTAAACTCAACTCTTATTTATGTTTTTTAGTAAGAAAATGAGCGCTTAGAAATGGCGAAAATACTCTTGTGATTAGAATGCTTTTGTGGAATCATTGTCATTAAAGAAGACCCACTGACCCTCCCACTGTCTATTGTTATTAATCCCCTCATTGGACGTCTGAAAACGTTAAAAGCCCTATTTGGCGCTATATTGCTGTTACAAAAGCAAAAGTTTTGACGTCAAATACACTGTAAACATAGTAGAAAAATATCTCGTTCTCATAGTTAACGACGATGTCACGAGAGAGCAGTGTACTACGTTTTTACACCGAAGATGTTAAAGTCTTCGACCTCTTCAATCTTAGGCGGTTAAACGATGCTATTGAATAATTGTGAGCTTGGGTTCGAAGGGACACTTAAATAAAACTTGCTTGGAGGGGTGGGGTAAACACGTCAACTCTGGTTAGAGTCTTCACTTTCGATGAGGCTCTCTTACTTTCCACCTCTTAGATCTGCTTGGAACTTTCAACTACCCTTCCCCCCTCAAGGAAAAACTTTTCTCGGGGGGGGGGGAGGGGTGTACGGCCTATCGCTTCACGTAGGCAATTGTGCTCCATCCTGTTAACCAATCAGATGCAAAACCTAAAGCAATCACGACTTGATCACCCGCAATTTCCCGCATTTAGGCTGATTGGTCGGTTTGCTTTGAGTTCTCATTGGCTCTTTAGGGTATTTTCTTTTCTTCTGATTGGCTGCATGGCCGTTGTGATCACTTTGGTTTCGATTTTAGGACACTCAATCGAAAAGTGCTCTGGTAGTTCAAGACGATTTGTTTATTTTCGAGTGTTCGACAGGAACTTTCACTGGAATGGTCGATGAAAGATATTTAACTCACAAGAAAGGTTATGTACCAGCCAAGAAGCTTCAGATAAATTCGCGTTTGTTGACCAAAGTTATAGTCAGCTGTATCAATTCAACTGTATATTGTTCGTCAGGGGGTAAACAAAAAAAATAAAATCAGAAATTGTGCCACTGACTTGACCCATATATTTCCTTTAGTGTCAGCACAACTTTTTTTGCATACTTATTTTCACTACTGCCTAAGTAGTGCACATCACTGCGAGGATCACTTTCATTCATGTCTTTATCCGCAGTTCAAATATATGACTTTCATATATTCTTAACCGGCTATTCATCACTTCACGGGTTTATTTAGAACCACCATCATGACCAGCTCCCAGTTGGCTTGTTAGCTCAGTTGGTAGAGCGCTGCACCGGTATCGCAGAGGTCATGGGTTCAAATCCCGTACAGGCCTGAATTTTTTTTCAGGCCTTATTTTCACTACTGCCTAAGTAGTGCACATCACTGCGAGGATCACTTTCATTCATATTCATATTTTGTAGGCACAAAGATGCAACAATCGCGAAAAACCTGCTCTCAAATTTTCGCCGTATGTTTCTTTCCCATTTTTTCCGTTCATTTTCACTATCGCTGGTGTCAATTGAGGAAATGGATCTGGGTAGGGGGGAGCTCCTTGCATGCACCTAACCCCTTTACCGTATGGAAAGAGAAAGCCCTAAAAATGTTATATAATGATTCGACAACCCGGTATTTCAGGAGATGCAAGTGTGGAAGCACCCCTGGGATATCCTGACTACACCCTCGGCGGTCACCTAGACTACAATCCCGTCCTAGATCCCCCCCTCTAACCTTTGAGAGAACGTTGGTAACGTAGGTAATGATTTAAGAGGTTAAATTCAGCATAAATCAACGTAATAAGGCAGAGGGTGTGGAGGGGGGGGATAAATGCGAGTAAGCGGGAGGGGGAATGGGAGGGAGGAATGGTTAAAAAAAAAAAAAAAAAAAAAAAAAAAAAAAGGTTAAACCCAGCTGTCATTGTTGCTGTCAGAGGCCCAGGTCGCACTACTGCCCAAACCAAAAAGTAGGCAGCCAAAAAATTTCCAAAAAGGTTAAACCGCAACCGGAAGAGCCGAAAAATGTGATACAATTTTTGAGTCGCACTACCGAAATACACAAATACGTTAAGATAAACACAGTTGATCAGATTTCATTTCTGGCGCGTATTGTGCGGTAATAAACATGAACCCAAATCAGGCATTTTGCTTTGCTTTTGCCATTCTACTTCTACAAATTATCGACATGCAACAGCAGCAAATGTTTGCCTTTTTCATCCTGTATCAGAGATGGGTAAATGAATACATGCAAATCCTGAATGTCGCTTTTCTAAGAAGACAGCGGCATTTACGTAGAATTCGTGTTGCGCCTTATACATGGACCATTCCTCGCCCAGCCGAATCATGGTTTGATATTCATTACTTGAGCCCTTTGCTCTTCTTGCAGCCATTTGTCGTAGTGTTTGTTTTTCTTTTTCTGCCAAACCTTCAGCTGACCTGGAGCTGGTCGGGCTATCGCTCTCACTTACCACACTTGCTGGACTATCGGATCGCCCAAGCAAAATTCCGCTGGGTCTCGCTTGATCTAAGATCGGTCCAGCCAATGTAGGGTCGAAATGACGAAAGTTTTGGCTTAAGAATGATCCCGGCGCATAATAAAAAGTAAAACGTCCATCCATGCTGAAAGTTGGCGGGTAAATATTAAAATTCCCGCCGATTGAGTAGTTTAACTGCGGGTCATATCTAGGTCAAATGACTAGCGTTGACAGCTCTGCCTTCCCCACCCATACACTTCGGTGGCTTTGAAGTTTCTGTGGACTTTCCGAAATTTTAGAAATTTGTGAAATACTGTGATGACAGACATTAATCCTTTTTTGACGGATTATTGATCTAAACCTCCCTAGTGCGACCCGGGCCAGAGTATATCGCTTAAACAAACAATGCAGGCGTGATTGTCTTCAGCATTTGGAAACTATTACATTCGGATTTCCATCTCTTCGTCGAAGGTTGGTATTAATTTTGACTGTATACAGCTTACATTCTGACTCTTAAGCTTTCTTAGGAATACTGAACACAATTCGGATCGAAAAATTCCACGGTTTTCGCCGCAGATAATGAGTTCTGCCACACGAAATTGTGAAAATCGATGAATGAATGTTGCAGGTGGCTAACGGTAACCAGTAGCTTATGAAACTAAATCTTGTTTGATTTGACTTCGAAATACAAGTCCAGTTCATCTTGTTCGATGTGGACCGTTTGTTGGAACTTTAATTTCGCAATTTCATTTCTTTTGAGGAGTAACTCAGCCAGGGTCAAGAATCTTACTCACAACAATTTCATTAAAATTATAATCATTAAAGTTGTTACAAGAAGATCGTTTGTTTCCAACGTTTGCAAACATAGCTCAGTTGATAGCAACACCCAACTAGTATCTGAAAGGCATGGGTTCGAATTTCTTCGATGCAGAACTTTTTTCCGGGCTTCCCTCAGATCTCAGTTTCTGCAATTGCTTAAATTCATCTTTTGGGCTTCAGATTTCACGTGTAGTATCACGTGACATTTGATGTAAACAAACCCCGAAAGTTCGGACATTGAGTCGAGCTCGCAGCACATGTGTTCAAACTTCGGCTTTGGAAATTTTTCTTAAATAACTTCCCGCTTTTGAGAAACGTTACTTCGCTCAAAATTGGCATCTTTCTTTTATCATTTATTTGATCGTGTGTCAAGCAAGTTGTTATTTCGCTGCTGTTGAAGCAGATGCGAAGAATGTTACAGGAAGCGTTGCGGCATGGAATAATCGAACCAGTTCTGCGTTCAGTGATGTATCTGATCAGGTATTTTCGGGGTGTTAAGTGCATAGATTGTTAAATAAAATCATTTCTGTCGGGAAATAAGTGCCCACGAATCGCTGTAGAACGTGAGGAAGCCTGAATTCCCACAC